CCAGGGGATTTGAAGATTGGGCTCAGTAGGGCAACTGTAAACAGGGCACTCTGACTGGGACCTGAGAGAGTCCTCTCTGTTCTAAGGCTGCATGGCTGGTGTATTCTGCTTCCTAACTGCAGAGAATTTCTGCTCCAGAACATACCACTCTTAGCAGATCCTGCACAAGTGTCCTACATAGCCTACCCCCAACCCCATTTCTGCTCTGACAGCTCGCCTCTTGACCTCCTTGTCCACTCCAGCCACAGTAGTCGCTCTGCTATTCCTCAAACACACCACGACACTTCTGCCTCAGGGCTTTTGCACTGGCTACTCCCTCTGTAGGAACACTCTTCCCCTAGGTATCTAACAGGGTTCACTCTGTCACTTCTTTCGAGTCTTTGCTCAAATGTCTCCTTCCCAATGAAGACCATCCTGTCAACCTACCCTATTTTACATTGTCACCAGGTCCTCAATCCTACCCTGCTACTCCTGTTCTCCCTTATACTGGTCTGTATTTTTCTTTTTCTATTTATTTATTACGTTCATGGTTTATTGCCTTTCTCTTCCATGCTCCCCCCGCCAACTCCACTAAAAAGTAAGCTCCATGAGGAAGGTGTCTTTATCTATTTTGGTCACTGATGTATTCCAAAAAACCCTAGCATTCTAACACACAGAAGGCACTCAGTGAATAGTTCTTGAGTTGAATTCCAATATGGCACTCGGTCTCACCAAGCTACCCATCCCCTCTTACTCTCGTGCCCCTGGGCAGCTTGGGAGCCACAGGCTGAGGGATTGGAACTTGGCTTCTCTGATGACATCTATTAGGTGTGGGGGCTAATCCATGGCTCACAGCATTGCTTTGGGGAGTCAGTATTCAGTCTAGCTAAGCGCAAAGTGTCAGCACTCCAACAGCACAGGGGCCCAACCCTGCACTGCCAGGTATGATGGTAGTTGAGTCATCTGGTCTCTTGCAGCCTTGGTTTGATCAACTCAAAAATAAGAATGATGTTCTCCTCATTGGAGCAGGTAAAATATCTGTTGTGGATGAATCTACAGCATCTGGCAGAGAGCCTGGCACATAGTAGGTATGCAATACATTGGTTGGTTGTTAGGAAAAAGTGAGACAATATTTGTAAACTTATGTATACATAAAGCACTTGGCATAGACCCTGCCATGTGGCAATCGTGCATTCATTCACACAAAAAAATATTTATTGAGTACCTACTATGTGCTTGGTAAAATACAATAATTGTGGGGAATAAGCTACTCATGTTCAGTCATTGGGAATGGCGTGGGCTATGGAGAAACCTTCCACATAAGATGAGATGAGCTCAAAAGGCAGCCTGAAGAGGACAGCATCTTCCATGAGCCAGTCTGCCTCAGCATCTTCAAAGAACATTGAGCAGGTGAACACCTAGACCCGGTGCCTTCCTCTACCATTGGCCTGGGCACCTGAAAGAGCTCTGCTTTCCTGAGTCAGTCATGCAGGTGATGACAACTGAGGTCTGGAACTCGCCCTCCCAGGGGTGACCTCTCAGACTGACGTCTACATGGGCTGCATACACAAACCAAGCAAGTTCAATAAGCACTATGCGCCTCTTCAGTGTAGGCTGGGAGCTGAGATCTAGGGTTCCTGACATGTCTGTTCATTGCTCCCCAAGTGCTTGGGCTTTAAGGGAGGGAGGACCAGGAGAGCTAAGGTAGCAACACCTGTCAGCTCTTTCTCTCACAGTTCAAGAGCGTGTTCTCCATGAGCTATGACTCCCAGGCTTGTGAAAAACAGCAACGACGAAATCAAAATCAAATTACCTCTGAGGGTTGGTAGTGATAAAATCAATTAGCAGTAGTAGCAGTTATAGCAGCTCATACGTATATGACACCCACTGTGTGCCAGGTACATACAAAGCTCTTTGTACACACTATACCTCACAACAACCCTTTGAACTAGATTATTAACCCAATTTACAGATGAGGAAATTGAGGTTCAGGGAGGTTTAGTATCCTGCCCATGATCACACAGCTAACAAGTGCTCAAATGAGATTCACCCTGAACAGTCCAATGCTAGATGGCATCTGCAAAATCCATTAATGGTTGTGTGGCAAAGGACCTCTGCAAGCATCATGGTGGGTCCAGCTGTGAAGCATGAGCAAGGCACCTCTGGTTCCTTCTCTACAAGAGCATCTTTGGTTTTGCTGGGAGTTGATGAGTTAATGTATGTAAAGCCCTTAGATGCATGCCTGGCACATGGTGAGAGCGCGAAAGTATTAGTAATCATTGATGTGATCAAAAAGCCCAAGTCTAAGAGCTTTAGGCAGAATCCACTCTTTGTAAATGGCTGGAGAACATTCTTAAATGGGCATTTTGGCATCTACTTCAGGTTTGCAAAGAGAAAGGACCTCACAATTTGTGGAATCCCCTTCCGCTTGTCACTATGAATTCCATCCTGAACCTGGTGGGGCATCTGTAGACTCAGGGGGACTATCTGAAACCCAAGCTCTATTGCTGATCAGCTGTGTGTCTTGAGCTGGTTATTGCACACTCTGAGTCTCAGTTATGCCCCTTAGAAAAGGGAGAGATTCCTGTCACCCACACCACAGGGCTGCCGTGAGGACTGTGGGACAAAATCCCCAAGGGACACTGGATATACATCCCAGCACAGAGTAAACACTCAATAAAAAGGGGGTGCTTTTATATGCAAACTAATCATTATTCTTAGAATCTTTATCATTTGCAACTGGACACATATATGCATGTGCTCTTTCTTGCTTTGTGGCTGCTAGTGTGTGGGGGAAAAGTTTTAAATCTAAATCACCAAGGAGCCCATCCTCCTTCTTCGCTGCCTCTTTTTCCACAACAGGCCTTCAGACTCTGCCTTAGCCCAGGCGGGAGCCTAACTCTGCATGGCTGGGGTTTCCCAAATGTGCCCCATGATACCCAAAACCAAGCCTGTCGCAAATAATGAAGGCTTTGTGCAGTTTCCCAGGAGCAAACTGAAGGGCTACACTCAATCCTTCCTGGAATCCAGGAGTGCATTTTCATGATGCGGAGAAAGAAAAAAAGCAGCCTCAAAAAAAATTCCTTATTGGGAAAAGTAGAGGCAATTTGGGGACAAAGTATCTAAGAGACAAAAAGAAAAATATAATTCACTATGCCTGACAGTAAGGCCTCTGGGGCAGCCTTGGCTTTGCAGCAATGCCAGGCCATTTCAGAAGAGTTGGCCCTGTAGGGTGGCCACAGAGTCTGGAACCATTGGCAAATACACAATAAATGAAATTACATTACAAATCAAAATATGATGCCATTACCTATGGTCCCAGACTTTATGGCCACTTAATACTGGAAATCATCAAAAGAGGTGAAGGTCCAGAGAGGCTGTAGCTCTTATGTACCCCTACCCCCCGTGGCGGGGGCGAATGTCTCCTTAGCAGCTGACTGACCTGAGAGCTTTGGATCATGTATGCATCGTAGCTGGACCCGTGGTACTTGGCCGTAATATCTGGGCTGTAGCCAGCATCACAAGGGCATGGTATATTCAAGCTTGGGGGCTGTTTCCTAGGTCTATAAACCTGTGGGAGAAAGCTGCAATGGTAAAGTGCAGGAGAGGAGGGTGCAGGGCTCACAGGGAAGGAATTAGGAGGAAGCAAAGAAGGAGGCTCATCTCGACTTTCTGTGGCCAAGTGGGTGGAAAATCCAGTGTAAGAGATGCACAGCCCCAAACGAAGAGGTCAGGTGTAAGTGACCCCCACCCCTGGGGCCAGCGCCAGCGAGGCAAGCCGCTCTGTGGAATGACCCCAATGTCTGGCAGGGACTGGGACCTTCCCTCTGCAGAAGAGGGCGCCCAGGCATGGCAGTGGTCTCTCTCAGCAAGGCAGCTCCACAAGGAATGGACTCTGGCTCAGGCCAAAGGATGCCTTTTCCTTTCTTAGGAGGGGAGGGAGGGGAGGGAGCTTACGCCTTCAGGCTTCCTTTCCACTCACCTTGCACACTGCGCTCAGACCAGATCACCCTAGTAGGCAGGGAGTCAGTCCTGGGGGTGGAAATCGATGTGGACATACTCCGAGTGGTACTATGTGACATTTAAAGAGCTTCAGAGCCACATGTGGCCCTAGCAAATATGTGGCAGCCACCTTGTGAGACCACAGACCATTGAACCATAGTATCTGCTGAATTGGTTTCATAATGAGGCTATAATCTGAGTGAATATCTTCAACCATTGCTTCCAAAAGCCCCAAGCTATATATGGAGGAGAAACAATAACTGAAGATTTCAGGGATGATTTTGCAATATGCTTCAGGTGCAATTAGTTCCATTTAAGCCACATCCAGAAAACATCTAGAAAGCAAAGAACTTTCTACACAAGTTAGGACTTTATCCCTTCTTCCTTTTCCCTCAGAAGAAATACAGTGAACTAGAGAGGAGGGACAAACAGGATAATTGGGTAAAGAGGTAAAAAAAAAAAATTTGACTAAATAATGGCCAGGGAAGTCCCCAAGCACAGTTTGGCAGTGCTAGGGGCTGGGAGATGTTCCTCAGCCGAAAGTCCTGGAGGAAATAGTTGAAAAACCAAAGCTGGAAGTATGGGGAGAAAGAAATCTGAAGAACTGGATGAGAGGAGTCATTTATAGGATATAGAAAGTGAGCAAGACAGAAGATAAAAGGTCCAACGGGAAAGAAGGTGCCCAGAATTTAATTCATAGTTTCTAGGATTTAGTCAGAAGTCATACAAAGTCCACTGGAAGGAAGAGAGCTGAGAGCTATTTCTGGGGAGATGATGCTAATACAAAAGAAAGGAAAACAGCAGAGGTTGTAAACCACACAAGCCCAGGCACATGCACATAAACACAGAAAAGCAGTAAAATGGTGTCCCAGCAACAACTCAGGCCATTTCACTCCTACCTGGTTTTAGCTGCTTGAGCCCGCAGGATGGACGTGGGAAAATGAAGAGCGGCTAAACCCAGAGAAAGCACCCAAGGCCCCAAACCCAGCAAAACACACCTTTGGTGCAGGAGGCCCCACCTGCTGCTTTAACTGATGCACTAGGCGATCCTTCTCCCGCTTGAGGGCCATGACTTCTTCCTGCGTCTTTTTCTTTTTGGAGGCAGACAATTCCAGCAAGGCAATGTTTGCATCTTTTTCACTGATGGCAGCAAGCAGTGCTTCCTGTCTGGTAAAATAAAAATTATTGTGATCTATTTTATAGAGTCAAATTAAAAAAAAAAAAGGGCATTTATAGTTAAAGTGAGCCACAGAGTGCTGTCTCAATGGGAAGGAATTATGGACAATGTTTAAGACAAATACCTCCCTGACTCTCAGAATGAACAAAGTAGTTTGGTTCAGAATCCCTGAGAGCCAAACGCTGTGTCCTCTGAGACAGCAATCTTTTGATGGCTTCATAGACACAGCTGCATATTAAAAATGGACGGAGCTGGGGCCGCCCCGTGGCTGAGTGGTTAAGTTCAAGCTCCGCTTCGGTGGCCCAGGGTTTCGTCAGTTTGGATCCTGGGCATGGACATGACATCGTTCATCAGGTCATGCTGAGGTGGCGTCCCACACAGCACAACCAGAGGCACTCACAACTAGAATATACAACTATGTACCGGGGGGCTTTGGGAAGAAAAAAAAAAGAAGATTGGCAACAGTTGTTAGCTCAGGTGCCAATCTTTAAAATAAAAAAAGAAATGGAGGGAATCAATCTGAACATTCACTTCTAACACACTTTCATCCATCTACCCATTCGTCTATCTAGTAATCCATCCATCCATCCATTTGCCAAATAAGGTTCAAGGTACTCCAGGACAATCCAATAAAACTGAGCAGCAATTTCACTACCAAGTATTATTTTTTCATGTAAGATTTTCTTTTGAAGGCAGGTAGAGATATTTACTAGGATCCCCTTTCCATTTTCAATGCAATTAGTGGTGCTCTCCAGTCATTTCACCGAAAACCATTCCTTCCTCAGTCTTCCTTATCTCAGTAATTACACCCCCATCCACTATGTAGCCCAAGCCCCAAACCTAGAAGTCATCCATGATTCCTTTCCTTCCTTCTCCACCCAGAGCCAATCCATCAACAACTTTAGTAGGTTTTACTCCCAAATACATCCCTTATCCAGACTGATCTGCTACCAAAGTTCTCCCAACCACTAGCATCTTCTCTTGTAGACATTGGTCTCCTTGGTACAGAGACCAAATTAATCATTAAACATATTATAAATCTGGATTTCACCGTTCTGCTGCATGAAAAATTCATTGCATCACCTATTAGACTTGAAATTCAAACCCTTTACTGATGCCTGCAACTCGTTATACCTACTGGCCCTGATCACCTCTTTGAGATCATCTTGTTGCCCGTCTCCTTCCTCAATCATTAGGCTCCAGTACATTTTGTTCCTGAAATCTTTCCTAGTCCTTGAGTATGTTACACTTATTCTCACCTCATAAACTTTTCCTTTTCATTTCCCTCTGCCTGGAGTGCCTTTGCCTCATTCAGCTCCTCATCCTTCAGGTCTCAACTCAAATGCATCCTCCACAGAAAAGCCCTCTTTAGCTGCTCCCCATGGCAGTGCCTCCCCACTTTCTACCTCATTCCCAAGCCACTGGCCTGTCACATTACACTTTTTTCATAGAACTCATCACTATTTAAAAGGATCTTAGACACTTATTATTTGTTTGTTTGCTAGACTTGACACTCTCTGAAACTGGAACTGCATTTGTCTTATATACCACCAATTCTCCAGTTTCTAGAAGAGCACTGAGTACGGAGTGAGTGTCAAAAATGTTTGTTCAAGGAATAAATAAGTTCACTTTGTACTTTAAAAAAACTTTTGACCAACAACATTTTCATGGAAATAGAACAAAGAATCCTAAAATATATATGGAACAACTAAAGACCCCGAATAGTCAAAGGAATCCTGAGAAAAAAGAACAGAGCTGGAAGTATCACACACTTTGATTTCAAAATATACTACAAAGCTATAGTACTCAAAACCACATGGGACTGGTACAAAAACAGACACACAGATCAATGGAACGGAATCGAGAGCCCAGAAATAAACCTGCACATCTATGGACAGCTAATTATCGACAAAGGAACCAAGAACATACAATGGAGAAGGGAAAGTCTCTTCAATAAATGGTGTTGCAAAAACTGGACAGCCAGATGCAAAAGAATGAAAGTAGACCATTAGCTTACATCATACACAAAAATTAACTCAAAATGGATTAAAGACTTAAATGTAAGACCTGAAATCATAAAACTCCTAGAGGAAAACATAGGCAATAACACTCTTTGACATCAGTCTTAGCAGTATCTTTTTGAATATCGTCTCCTCGCGTAAGGGAAACAAAAGAAAAAATAAACCAAGGGGACTTCATCAAACTAAAAAGCTTCTGCACAGCAAAGGAAACCACCAACAAAATGAAATGATAACCTATTAATTGGGAGAAAATATTTACAAATCACATATCTGATAAGCAGTTAATATCCAAAATATATAAAGAACTCAACAACAAAAAACAAACAACCCGATCAAAAAATGGGCAGAGGATATGAACAGACATTTTTTCCAAAGAAGATAGACAGATGGCCAACAGGCATTGAAAAGATGTTCAATATCTCTAATTATTAGGGAAATGCAAGTTGAAACTATAATGAGATATCACCTCATGCCTGTCAGAATAGCGATTATTAAAAAGACAAGGGGGGTCAGCCCTGTAGCGTAATGGTTGGGTTCAGCATGCTCTACCTTGGTGGCCTGGGTTTACGAGTTTGGCTCCTGAGTGCCGACCTACACTACTCATCAGCCATGCTGTGGCGGTGACCCGCATGTAAAGTGGAGGAAGGCTGGCATGGAAGATAGCTCAGGGCTAATCTTCCTCAAGCAAAAACAGAGGAAGATTGGCAACAGATGTTAGCTCAGGGCTAATCTTCCTCAGCAAAAAAAAAAAAGACAAGAAATAACAAGTGTTGGGGAGGATGTGGAGAAAAGGGAACTCTCATACACTGCTGGTGGGAATGCAAACCAGTGCAGCCACTATGGAAAACAGTATGGAGAGTCCTCAAAAAATTAAAAATAGAAATATCATATCATCCAACTATTCCATTTCTGAGTATGTATCCAGAGCATGAAAACACTATTTGAAAAGATATATGCACCCCTATGTTCACTGCAGTATCATTCACAATAGCCAAGACTTGGAAGCAACCTAAGTGCTCATCAATGGATGAATGGATAAAGAAGATATGTTTTATATATCTATATACAATGGAATATTACTCAACCATAAAAAGATGAAATCTTGCCATTTGTGACAACATGGGCAGACCTTGACGGTATTCTGCTAAGCAAAATAAGTCAGAGAAAGACAATTGCTGTATGACTTCACTCATATGTGGAAGATAAATAAACACACCCATAGATAAGGAGAACAGATTGGTGGTTACTAGAGGGGAAGGGGGGGGGGGGAAGGGTGAAAGGGGTAAAGGGCACATGTGTATGGTGATGGATGGCAACTAGTGGTGAACAGCATGCAGTCCATACAGATGACAAAATACAATAATGTACACCTCAAATTTATATAATGTTACAAACCAATGTGACCTCCATTAAAAAATTAATCAAAAAATTTTAAAAAAACCTTTGAAGACACTACTGTACAACTCGTACTCTCATTTTTAAAAAATTACAATGTTTTGACTCTTGCTTAATCTCTGATCATTGCTTACTCAGAAAATTATTAAAGCTGCCTCCTCTCATTTCACAATCTAATATTCTGGCAACATCTATTGCAAATTTTAACCTGGAACTTTGGGGGACCATTTATGACTAGCAAATGGCTCTCCTGGTATCTTTCATTTAGTCCTCTTTCCACTGAGGAAATCTTCTCCCAACTATGTGTGTCACTTCTGCAACATTCTAGATATCTTAGAAGTTCCCACAGCCCCAGGAAAGCCTCCATACTGGGTACTTTCTTTGCACATAAGTCCCAGGACTAAAACCTGGTCATGATCCTGTTTTGTCTTTCTTTAATCCCCATCACCAGACCAGGCTCCCTCCAGATGTTTAGACAAGATGGTCATTATTTGGATCTCAGGTTTTCCCACTCTTCACTGCAGGGATTTGTATGGACTTTTCTGGGCCCCACTAATGCCAGGCAGTAGGAGCTTCTGTCTAAGGCTCAGTCAGACATGTGAGCAGCAGACATGTCAGGAAATATCTCCACTTGCCAGAAGAAAACCAGTGCAGCCCAGACTACCAACGGCAGCGTTAATATCAAGCTTCACAGAGCCTGTCTCCTTCTGGATAACATCTTGAGACAATAGACATCCTTGCCGTTCAGAGCTAGTGGATTTTTATACATAAGGCCAAGCCGAAGAGACTGCATGGACTTCAAATCAGGGAAAGCCCATGTGCTATGTACTCCAACTTAGCTACCACATACCCATGGTAAATCCAATATTTCACCCCACTCCTCCCAAAATTGAAATATTCAAGTGAAGCTTTTTTAATGGAAATGATGTAAAGATCATTATTAGTAAAACTGGGGATTGATAGTAAATTATGCTCATCCCTATAATTCACTCTTTAGAGCTATATGCAGCCATTTAAAATGCTCATGAAAAGAACCCAATGATATGTGATAACAATTATGTTTGTTGAGAGAGAACTCTCCATGAGTCTCGCATTTCTGCACATTTTACAAGCAAAGGCACTATATTCTTTTCTCATAATCTTTCAAGAATGTTTGTATAGAGAATAGCCTTGGAAGACAAAGGCAATATCTCCCTTAGGATCAAAGGGTAGACATGCTTACTGCCCTGTATAATAGTGCCTTTCTCCAGAACAAAGGGCAGGCGTGTTACTGCCCATTATAAAAGATTCGGGTTCCCTAAACTCAGGGTTGCTCTCTTTTAACGCAACCCACCGCATGTGCAGCTATTCACCGGGCCTATCTTCCCTGCCTCCATGGGACTCGGGGAAAGGGGACTTGACATAAACATGTGGATGCTGTTCTCTGCACTTTGAGCAATAAAGTCCTTTGTCTTTGATCCAAAAGTCTCTGGTCATCTGCCTCCATTCATGAAACTGAGGCAGTTACCGCGTTAGCATAACAGGCAGTAGACTGTTAGCATGCCAATAAGGAAAATCTCAGACCCTTTACAGTT